AAGTAATACTAGCCTATGGAAAACACTTTTAGTTTTACGGATCCGATCACTACAGCTTATGTGTCAAGCATTTACATAATACCAACTGAAGATCAACAATTAATTTTCCTAATGCACATCCTAAAATTAAATTTGATTACTACATTAATACATAGATTTTTCTAATACATGAATGAATTGATATTATTTAATTATTATTATTAGCCGATTAGGAAGGTTATATAGAAACAATACGTCGAGACCTTGAAAAATCAATGTTTGAAATTCTGATCTTTTAATGTTACTACTGGTATATAACGCTCCGTATGTTGCAGTTATTTTCAAAGACAACGTCTTACGACGAGAAATAAGACCAGGAAAAGAAGAAGACAATAGCTACGTAGGACAATGATTACACCTCCGCGATAATAAAGCCATGTTCAAATACTCGTTAATCTACGGAAATTGTTCTTAAAAGATCAATTTATCTGTGACAAACGATAGAAATCATAAATTTTGTTTTCTAAAAAAATTCATCAATACACTGGATTATTTTTTTTTTATCGGTACGCTTAAATAGACAGCTGTTTTAGCATATGCGTCTATTATTGTAAACTGAATCTCTGTACGCACAAACGAATGTAAATTAAATAATTCTTTATTTATTATAATTTAAACTCGCTTAAAAAAAAGGGAACAGGGTTTTATCAATTTAGATTAAAACTAATCTGAAAATTCAGTGGAATGAATAAGGATTTTCTGATCGTCAATTTACTGAGGGAGGACCGAACCTACTACTTAGTCGTAATTGGTGTAAGACGAGACAAGCTTGCTAACTATTTACACCAAGACGAAATGCCCAGAATCAGTAGAAGTAATAGTTGGCCATCTTTTATTAGTAACAAAACAAGTCTTCGAACTTTTCTGTCTTTTCTGAAGTATTAACTCTAATTTATCGTACACATACACGCTAATGTAGAAATTCTTTTTTTAGATGATAATTCGTTCCTTGTGTGGTGCTAGACAATTTTTCTTGCCAGAATCTATCTTACATAATTATGTCCACCATTTGTTCTTGCTTTGAATATTGTTGACACATATGGTCCGGTGCTCCTGCTATATATTTAGAGATTCTTGATGAAATACAAAGAAGAATCTGCAATGTTATTGGTCCTGACCTGGCATCTTGACTTCAGTCTCTTTCCCACTGCCATAACGTACATTCCCTTTGACTTTTCTGTAAATATTTTCATGGTAATTGTTCTGAGGAACATTCCTCTAGGGCACTTTAACTTCATAAATTTAAGCGTAGTACTAGATTGGCAATAATGTCTCATCATCTTACAGTTGAAATGGCTTGATGTAACCGTAAGTTCTATGCTAACAGATTTTTCTCTCACATTTCTTGCTTGTGAAACTCTTTTTCCGACTTCTTGCTTCCCAGCCAACTTTGATCTTCAAAAATTTAAATACAATATCAGTCGTTATCGTCTGACTTGATTCTTGTTCTTTTGTCTTTTCTCTCTAATAGTAGTTTTTCTCATATTCTCTTGCGTCCTAGTGACTTTATTGCCTTGCTTGAAGTGAAATGATTAGAAAAAAAGACTAGAAAGGATTTCTCTACTAAAATTAAAATTTATCTCACCAGACTTCCTTCTTAATTGACATCTTCACAATCGATTCAAGCGGAAGTTAGTTTTCCTCGGTGTCAAATATTATTACGATGAATTTGCAGAAGAAACGCCCCTCAGGTTACTTCCGTAGCTTTCAACCATATGTGTGTATGGGGATTTTCTAAGCGCTGCTGAGATATGGCACAAGGCCGAAAGTATGGAGCGTTCAATGAGGATCGAACTCATTATTCAGTCGTAAATGATCTAGCGACATAAGTTTGTTAACCATTGCACTACGTCGAAGTGCTCAACCATATGTCTATATGTGTTCGACACATTGCAATATCTCTGTATGCATGTATGTATCTATGTATGTATATATGTAAGGATGGATGGATGGATATACACAAGCCCCAGCGTGCGGCACATTTGGAAAACAATACCACGAGTTGACCCAAGCCTTGCGAGTGAAATTGGGTTGACGGAATCCTTAGGCGCGGTCGGTGGTTGTGCTAGCACGAAGGCACAAGTCATCGTGACCGAGAGTTTGCTTTGCTTTGTTCAGACTGATGGTCCCGCCAGATGATTCACACTCTCCTCCAAAAATCTCATAACCCCGTTCCGCTTGACATAGTTGGGCTCTGTGGGTGTTGAACAAACACAAATATGGGCGTCTGCAACATGGACTGGCTATCCGCCCTAATAAACGGGCACCCTCGGATACGAGTGGCCAGCCTTTTTATGTACACTGAAGTGCAGTATAGGCTTATTTTTGTTACTGTTATTAAACAATGCCCGAAGTGCTTTCATTCTAAAAGAAAGTAAGACTAAAATAAAAATGAAGCAACAATGTTACTGGTCCTGACCTGGCATCTCGTTTTCAGTTACTTTCCCATCGCCGTAACGTATCTTCACTGTGACTTTTCTATAAATACTTTCATGGTAATTGTTCTGGAGAGCATTCCTCTTTAGTACCTCGATTTGACGAATTTAAGCGCAGTACTAGATTGGCGGCAAGGTCCCATCATTTTACAGTTGGAATAGCTTGATGCAACCGTAAGTTCTATGCTAACAGTTTCTTCTATTTCTTGCACTTCTCGCTTGTGGAACTCTCTTCCTGCTTCTTGTCCTTCAGTTAGCTTTGATCTTCAAAAATTTCAATGTAAAATCAATCATTATTTTCTGTCTTCTTAATTCTCGTTCTTTTATTATTTTCTCTGCTTACAAATGTTTTCCCTTTACTCATATCTTTCCACAATCAGTAACCCCCCCCCCTTGTGTCTTAGTGGCTTTGTTGCTTTACCTGGGATTAAATGAATTTGAAAAAGTTAAAAAAAAAAAAAGAAAAAGTTTGTCTTCTTTTCAGTGTACTTAATAAAAATGGAAAAAGGTCGGAACCAACTTTCGAACATTATGTCTACGGATATTTGCTATCGCGAGAATAAGATGCCAAACAGAGGCCCCTCAAAATTCTACATATCAGCAATTTTAGTGCGCGTGCGCGCACGTGCGTGTGCGTGCGTGTGTGTGTGTGTGACATAAAAATGATTTCCCATGATTTCAGGGGAAGGCCTGAATTCTGCAATGGAGCGAGAAAAATGATCTATAATTACTACGGGGTTGAGGGGGGGGTTCTTGTTAAACCTGTCCAGGTAGGGCGTATTGGCTTCATCCAGCTCTTTTTAAAAATACTACTTTAAAGTTAATCTTTTCCAAAGAATAAAATTTCTACCCGTATGTCAAACGAACAAGCACATACACACACATGCATACACACACACGCATACACACACATGCATACGCGCACACACATGCACATATACTGTATAATAATTTATGTTCGAATGTAAGTATTATTCACACTACACATTGTCTTGTAAAAAAAAACTAGTTTGTTAACCATTTCTTTCCATAAAACAATATAAGTGGGTGGCCTGTGGTTACATAAATTTTATTTTTAGAGACGTTTATCGAAAAAAATATAGTGACCATTAAAAAGAACATCCTTTTACTAAGGTTTACTGCTGGTGTTAGCCATTCATAAGTTTGTATTGCATCTTCCAGAAGGTCAAGTTTTTTTGTTGTTTTTTTTTCTTCAAATCAACGCTTCCATATGCCAACCAGCCGATTATTACCTGCCTGTGTACACATTCTTGTGTGATGTTATGATACTATAACAATGTTAACACACACGGTATGTATAAATCATTTATAATAAATGTAAAAACTTAAATATTTCTTAAAATCCTGGAAATATTTATTTTCAAAATGATAACTCCAGGACTTCTCGTTAAGAAGGTGTCAATTTTGCAACTGTCCAAAGTTTTGTTGTAGCAGTTCGAATAGTGATGTAGTAAACAGAAACAAGTTGATATTCTCTTGTAATGAAGAACTCTATAAATCGCAAATAATCGGTAAAATGAAAGACTTGTTCAAGGTTTACAGGCCATTTGTGTTTTGTTTTTTGAAATAAAGAAAAGAAAAAGTACTGATTTAAAAATACTAAAATAATTTATCAAACAGAAAAAAGAAGGAAATTCTTCATACTCAAAGTAACAGTTGAAAAACTGTTTTTTTTTTACTTTATGTTTTTATTTTTATTTAAACATAAAATTTATTATACGTGTTCCGAATAATAAAAAGGTCATACATATCCCAACTACTATTTTTAAATAACAAAGTCAATGTCAAATTTTAAGTTGCTAACAAAAATTAAACCGCGAAAAATATAAACTGAAGATTTTCTTTTTGTGGAAATGGTCCTTTTTTTATTAACGAAAATGATTTTGTTTTTTTGTTTTAAATAAATTAAAATTGAAAATGCTTAAAATCGCCTACACATACCAATTTAGTACGTATTGTCATTGACTATATTTTTATGTGTGTTTTTTTACTTGTGGGTTTTTTTTTTTTTTTTTTTGCATGAAAAATGTGTTTTACTTTTAATGAAAAATATATGTGTTTACTGTTTAAAATAAAGCTAGGTACCTACACAAAAACGCGATACCTGACGTTTAAAAATCCATTCTAAACTTTAAAATTAATTTTTAATAATGAAAAATCTTTCTTTTATTTTAGTTTTAATTTCAAGCTGAGAGAATTTAATATTTCCAATAAACAACAAAATACTATTTCTGCTGTATTTCAAAAAATTGATTGGAACGAGTTTTCGTTTTGAAATGTATATTTTGTTTGAGATAATTATAAAAGATTTTTAAAATCACTAAACAAAAAAAAAAAAAAAACTTTACAGGTGTGACCAATACAAACTATGAGAGTGGGAACTAAAATGAGATAAAAATACACTTTATTTAAAAAGAAAAAATTCATAGACATAAAACTGCGAGATTTTTTTAAACAGTTGCTGCAAAGCACAACGACGACTGATTCCAGTAGCGAAAGTTTTACCATTTTTAAGAAAATTTCGAGAGAGATAGAGAGAAAGGTTGTGTGTGAGAGAGAGAGAGATTGTGAGAGAGAGAGAGAGAGAGATTGTGTGTTTTCCGTTTCCAGTCGTCAACTCCAACAGAAAGAAGCGATGAAGAACATTTGTATCATCCGCGACTGTTGTTCTTTTTCTTAGAAACTGCGGCAGGAGTTTACCGTGGGTGGGGGGATGCCATCTAACAGCTGATGCCAGTAACGACAGAATGGTGCGATGAAGGAATAAAAACAGTGACATATGGTTAAAGTTTTTCCTTCTTGTAAATTGAATTTATTATGTTTTGACGGAATTCTGTGATTCCGAGAAGTGCAGCAGGGATTTCTAGCAGAAGAATTCTTGTTTTGGACAAACATTGACGACCAGATTCGCCGACTGAAGAACACAAGGAGGATACCACCTGTTGTTTGAGACGGGCATGATGTTTTTAGTTTTTGTATTTATGATGGAAAGCGTGGAGTCGCTGTGTGTAAATAAAAATCACTTTCAAAAATAAGTATGTTTACTTGCTGGTCACGATTTAAAGGAAAGATCTAGAGAGCCGCCTACACAGAAAAATTAGCTTCATAATAATAATAATAAATTGTGGTAATAAAATAAAAACATCCCATCCCCCCTCTCGCTTGTAACCATCCACCACAATAAAATAAACGTTATTCAGCGCTAATGCAGAATTGGTCAAAAAACTTCATAAGCTACTTAGAGAGTTTTTATTACAATAATAATAATAATGAATTAAAATGTTTTCTTCTCTCAATATCCATCTATACTTTTTTTTTAATAACAAGACAACAAAAATCGACATCTAAAATTAAAAATAATGTCTATGTAAAAAAAAGAAAAACAGTAATACACTAATCAACATGCCAACACTAATGAAGGAAGCCCTTTTTTTACATACCTTTTTTTTTTTTAACATTGCACTTTCTATAGATTATTGAACATGCAATCATTGAAAAAATTAAATTTAAATATCCTTTTGAAAAAAATTCTAAGTTTTGGTAAGTTTTTCTTTTGTCTTATGTTTTATTTATTTATTTATTTTTTTTTTTTTTTTTTTTTAAGAAAACATTTTTCAAAATTCTTACCAGGCTTTAACTGCAATCAGGACTTCGCCATCTCCAGCAGTTGGTTGAGGTTTAGATAGGACTTTTAACATTTTCAGGCCCCCAAAGCCCGTCAAAACCACAGATTTCATATCTTTAGACATTTCTGTAGTTTTCGCCTTGTCGTCGTTTTTCTCTTCTTTTGCCGGCACTGAGGCTGTGGTGTCGTCTACAGAATCTCCAGGCATTTTACAATCTTTTGAAATATCTCTTCTTTTTCCTTTTTTTTTTTTTTCTTTTTTCTTTTTTTGCAAAAAAAGAAATGAACTGTCTAATATATGCGTAGATGTTTTATTAATTTAATTTTCCTTTTTTTCCTTTTTAAATATTGTTGATTGTTTCGTTTTTTTTTTTATTTTCCAGATGTTTCAATGTTATTGATTTAACTGCTTTTTTTTTGTTTGTTTGTAGTTTTATTAACTGATTTGCCAGTTGCTAGATTTTTTTGTTTAAAGATCGCTTATCGGATCTATCGATAATGAATCTGTATTTGTTGTTATTGTTCTTTATTCTTCTTCTTCTTAATAATAATAATATCTACTTCATCTGGAACTGATCCGTCTCTTCTCTCTTTCTTTTTTATGTGACACTTCTTAAAACTGCTAAGAACGAAGCAAAACGGAGTTTGGTCTGCTCGTTTCTACGTTTGTTTGTCTCAGTCAGCCGCTCGCCGTAAGAAAGTTCAGCCTAAACCTGTTGACGACAGATTGTCCCTTTCTTTCGGTCACCAAGAGAAATGATCTCGCTCGACGATCGCTCGTAGTGGTTGTGCCTGAATGGCGATAAAGAGAGAGAAAGAGAAGCGAAGGAACCAGTCACCTATTGCCAATGTTTGCGTGTGTGGGGGTGCATGTGTCTAGTGTGCGGGAGTTCTAATGGCAACGTGGGTGGTTTTCGTCCGAATCTGTGTGTACAGAATATCCCCAATAATGCGCAGGATCTATGAATCCACGCCTCTTCCTTTCGACTTCTTCCGTCTCTTTCTTTCTTTATTGATTGATGATGTCTTCTATCTTTCTTACCCTTTTTTTTTTATTTCTCTTCTCATCTGTGTGTTACTCCCTTTATCCTTTTTATCCTCTCTTTCAATTTTCCTTGTCTTTCTGTTTGTTCAATTACTCTCTCTATTTCTATATCTTTTTTCCTTTCCTTTTTTTCTGTTCATCTTCCTCTCTTTCTTTTAATAACGCTTTCTTTTTTTCTTAGAATATTTTAACATGTCTGCATCCCATTCTTCTCAATAATAATAATAATAATAATGAAGATTTTACCTACATCGAGAAAATTTGAATTTTTTAATCAATTCACCGCAAGCAAGGTGATAATACGACTAGGAAGCAGGGGATTACTGCGAGTAAAAGAGGACGAGAAGACTTTAATGAGGAGAAATGAGGTAAAAGACAAAATCAAAACAGGGTTCAGAAAGACAGAAGATGGCAATTGGCGTTGCATTTTAATTTTTGAAGATTGTAGGTGACAGGGAAGCATTAAATCTGAATGGAGTTCCACAGGCGCAAAATGCGAAGTAATAAGCTATTAGAATAGAACATATGGTTACATCTAGGTTTTTCAACATTAAAACGGTACGACCTAGTTGCCAGTCTAGTAGCACGCTTAAATTCATCCAGTCAAGGCACTAAGGAACAGTTGCCATGAAAATATGTTTTAGAAAAGACGCCACCTCGCGTCGGTGAGAAAATGACTGAAGTCGAGATGCCAGGTTACATTACACACCCTTTTTTGAATTTTATCGAAAATCTTGAGATGAATATCAGGAACATTAAACCAGATATGGAAGCAGTATTCAAAGCACAGACGAATAGTAGATTTATAAATGTGCAAGAGCGATTCTGGAGAGAAAAGTTTTCTGGCATGACACTGTGAACCAATAATGCCTAGCATCGCATCGCTTCAGAAGTCTCCATTAGTATCTGTCTATATTTCTGAGATGAGGTATTATGTACACTATTTACATTATTCAGACTATTGTCCTCATCTTTGTCGCCATATTTATTACTACGTTTCGGCCTTTCAGTATCTGTCTATATTTCAGTATCTGTCATATCTAATGGATGTCAGTTATGAGTTTTTTCCTGTTAATTCCTCTCTCCAAATTTTCCACTGCCTTAATCGGGTATTGAACTCACACTCTTTGGGTCCGGATGATGTCTTCTATCTCTCTTACCCTGTGCCATGTGTCTTTAAGGACATATGGCACAGTGGATAAAGGCGTTGGTTAGATTCAGTGATAGGACCCAAAGAGTGTGAGTTCAATACCCGGTTAAGGCAGTGGAGAACTTGGAGAGGGGATTTAACAAGAGATAACTGACATCCATTAAACATGGCACGTAGAACTAGAACAGTCTACCCCAGTGAGCGAAATAAAGGGTTCAGTTCGACATTCCAACCACCTGAAGAAGGCCGGAGCGTACAACGGCCAAAACGTAGTAATAAATATGGCGAAAAAGATGAGGACAATAGTCTGAATAATGTAAATAAAGTCTCCATTGTTTAGCACTGTAAATATTCTGAGAAAGATGCTCTCTGAGGTCGTACGGCCTGATGGAGAACACCAATGATGCAAAATCTCCGGTTATAAACGAAAAGACAGAAGAAGAAGAAGAAGAAAATGGCAATTACCTCAAAAGGTTAAACGTTTCCTCGTTGCACAGTTAACACCCCCTTTCAATAAACAGGCGTGCCGCTTTTCTCTCCTTTTACCCCCACCCACAATGGTGCCAGCGAGATCTAGAAAAAATTAAAAACAGCAAGCACATGTTCCTCAATGAAGACAAAATTATCTTCTCTTGTCTGAAGCTCTCTAAAGTTTGGGATGACTTGTTTCGAGAAATGAGATCTGGATAAAAAAAAAAAAAAGAAGAAAATCTCTTGATTGTAGGAATTAAAGGCATTTAAATAAAAATGACAAGCAAACAAAAATCATACTGGATCGATCGTTTCTGGGATCGGCAAGGGCCTCATCCCCGAGGAAGCAATCTGGTGCTGAAGAAATCTGATACTGTGGCAAACACCTCAAATGTTTTGGATGATAATTTAAACAGAAACATTCCTAACCGGAGTCCTTCAAATTCAATAACATCAGCAGTAAAATAGAAGGTTTAACTATCGTTTATCATTCACACAGGAGGACAACTAGTTAAATAAAACAATTGAATAAATGCAATTGATAAACATATGTACAGTGCTGATAACTACGGTGGTCAAGAATGAATTCAAAGAAAACTTGTGAATAACAGGTAATAATTTAAATAAGATAACCTTGCATATTATTATGCTATAAATCGCAGGTCGTATCCATCCTCTTCCACAGGTGTGAGACTTGGATATTGCTGGTTGAGACAGGAAAAAAGGGTCCAGGCGTTCGAGAACAAATACTTGAGAAAGCTTCTACACATCCTCAACTGAGAACATAAAAACCAATGACTATGTACGTAGCACGGTCTAAAGTCTTGTGTGCCAACAGGAATCGCTCTTTGCCACTATTAAGCAACGGAAGATAGCATGGTTTGACCACGTCACACGGCATAACAACCCCTGCAAGACCATCGTACTGACCACTACTAAAGGTGAACACAAGCAGGGAGCGCAACGCAAGAGCTGGTAAGACAACATCAAAGAGTGGACCGTTGAAGCAGTCAGGGCACTGGTGATGATGATGATGATGATGATGATGATGAATTACAATTAAGGTTGGATTAAAAGCTAGAGTATATCAGAGAAATAAGCGGTGCTGATATATGACCCAAGACTCGGCACTATATAGAGAGTCAAACAGCACGATGACTTTGCAGACTCTGGCTGGTTGGACAAACGTTTACCTGAAGAAAAACAACGACTGTAATAAAAAATGACTAAATGGAACTGATAAACACAAAGAAAACTTAAGAATAACAACTAATAATTTAGATATGATCACCTCGCCTATTATTTTGCTAGATCCACCTTTCAGTAATCAATTATATTCAGCCAAATTACAATTAACGTTAGATAAAGTAACAATTGTTCAATTAAGGTGAGCTGATAGGGGGTATTTGTCAAAATATTGTGATGAGATTGCATCTCCATTTTTGCCAATTACGACAATTCCATTTAGTCAAATGTTTATTCAAGCCG